ATTATTACCTGGCACACATACAATAATATCTTTATCTTTATTCATATCGTCGCAAAATTAAAACAAATTTATTTCCTGTATTTAACGTGTCAAAAAAGTAATAATTACATAGCTTGTAAACAATTTAGAGGTTATGTACAATTTTATTTAGTATTTTACATGAATGTAAAATACACTATCGTTAGCTTACAATTGCTACTGAATTATGATCTTCAATAATAAATTTGCACTAAAAAAATTTGATACATTTGTTTAGACAACAAACATGACTTGAAGAATATATTTGTCTTTTAATTTTGAATTCAAACGTATCTCTTCTAGATTTTGACCACGTGTGTTTATTTACTTCTTCCAACTTGACTCTAATAAAGAATAAATTTAACAATCGAAATAATATGAAATTTAGAAAAATAGATATCTGCAATTACAGATGGTGTTTTAATGTTCGAAAGTATAGATATATCTCGTCTATATACGTAAAAAAATAAACTTGTCAATCAACAATTTAAGAAAAATATCTAAAAGGATAATTTATGAAGTTTTTGTGTTTCTTGATGTCAAACATCAATATATCAATTTCATTAGTAATTATTATTATTAGTTAATTATACCAATAATAATATCAAGTAATTAGTTAATATCAATGGCTGATGAACGAAATTTTCGTTCATCTTATTACGAAAAGGTATGCATTTTGCACGAACTATTTGTGTTGAAAACATTCTGCATGAAATATGTTTCTTATCGTTTAGGTTATAAACAATAAAACGCTAATTATAAATGATTAATCAATTATACAACTAAAATATAGGTGGGATTTCGTAGCGTCGAAGAAAAAAAATCTTTGGAGATATTACTTAAAGAACGTCCTTTAGATAAAGCAAAACTAAAACAATTCTGTTTGCGTTTTACTGTTCCTGCTAAATACAGAAATTTTCTTTGGAAAGTATTATTAGATGTGATACCAATTTATATAGATAGTCATGAATTTATAATAAGTCAAAGGAAAGCAGAATTTCAAGATCTACAAAAAGCCTTAAAGGTCACAAAGATTTTGGATGATTATACAAAACCTCATTTAATGTTTATTACTATGTGGTTATTGCGTACCAGAAGAGCAAAACTTGATATGAATACTCAATTAGAAGTTCCTTTACATAGGTCTCAATATTATTGTTTCACTAAATATAACTATTAATTACGATTTGTTAAATTCAACTTATACTCATCAATTATATTTGCTGCAGAGCTATGAGCAGAATGGCTGAAACATTGTGGCATATTGTTGATATAGATTCGTATGAGGAAAAGCTGGTAGATACATATTGGATATTATGTGGACTTTTAGACCAAGTACAAAAATTTCACAAAGAAATCAGTAGATTGCAGGAATGTACTTGTACTTTGTTGGAGAGAGAAGATCCAGAATTGTACAAGCATCTTGTTAAAATAGAAGCACTTCACAATATTCCATATGACATTTGGTTTTCTTCATGTTTTGCAGGAACAATATCTAATGGTTCTATAGCAAAGTAATTAAAAAAAATAAATACATAACAAAAAAAATAAAGAAAAAGAAATACATAATTGTATTATCTATCATTTATTGTTTTTTATTACAGAATATGGGACAAAATAGCTGTAGGTGCATATAGAATTTTAATGTTTATCACTGTAGTTATATTAACAACTTTAAGAAGACTTCTATTGAGATGTGAAAATATAGATGGTATTTTAGATACTATTGCCAATGTATGAGAATATCTATATATGATTGTTTTTACAAATATGAAGTATGACAATTGTTTTTTAAACAAATATTTATATTTCAGATAACAGAAGAAACGTCTGAAGTAATTGTTAACAAAGCAATTGAATCTTGGCAACAAAGTGGTTCAACATTGACAACTATTTCATAAATTATTTAAGAAATGAAAATATTTAATTTGTAAACAAAGTTATATCAAAACAATTATACTATGAATTATGAAGTTTAATTATAAATATTCGATTTAACTTTTTCTAAATAGAAATAAATATTTATATATTTAAAGAATAATTTCCTTATATTTTAAAAATAATTATTTTTATTAATGCATCCATCATACATTATACATATATAATTACTTATTTTATTGAGGTGTTAAGTCTTAAACTGGACTTTGTTTCTTATATTGTGATTCTTTGTTTTTTCTTTTGCAATGTTACATTACAACAGTGTTGATGTACTTCTGTGTAAGAGTAAACTTCAATAAATAACTTTCAAATCAAGCAGAAATATAAAATTATTGCATGTTATACTTATATTCTCCAAGAAATTGAATGCAAGTAAGTTGTCATACATCTTCAAAATTTGCTTTGCATATCTTTTTACTGTCAGATATAATGATCTAGTCGCGTATAATTATATTGTGCATTTGTAATGGAATTTTATTCCATGGCCTATCTTAACAGAGATATAAAAAGAATATTAAACTTCGATATGTATAGCATTTTCTCAATAAAATAACTTGAAACAATGTAATGATGAGGTTCAAATTTCATATGAATTGATTAGTCTTTGTAATTTTTACAAAAGAAATAATATATTGTGATTTATTTACATTTTTTTTTATTTAAAAAATAGCGTTCTTGGAGAAAAGTGAGATCATACAAAATTTTATTTTTTGCTCGCGCATTGCGCCATAATTTTATAACTTCCTACTGTTTTCTAATATTACAACTCTTGAATAAAATTTCTGCTACTAGTTGTTCTTTGGTTTTCAATGGAATTTGAGCATCCTCTTTTTATCGTTGATACTTTGTAACAAATGATAATTATAGTCCGATGTACATTAAATAGAATTTATATGTAACCAAATTACCTTTGTTTCAAATATTTCGAAGAAATCTCACACTTGTTATAAAACGAGATTTTAATGCAAAAATTAAAATTCAGTCTAAAATGTTGGCAGATTTCAAATTCAGAGAGTTATTTAGGCTATGGCAATGCACATATAATTCCAAAGACACTAATCCTTTCAAAGTACAAGTAAAATGCACAAATACACTACACTATTGTATTTTGTTAACATCAATGACTCCAATTTATAACATGCACATTTTAACACTTGAGAAATACCGTCAGGCATTCGATCAATGATGTCCATAACATTCTCGATCAAAATCTACCATTGCCTTCAAGTGGCAAAGTATAATTTCATATAAATTGTTTCTTTTTTTTCTTTCTGATTAAGGCCATTAAATTCATTCTGTTGTTGTCTAATTATTAAAATAAATATTTATGCAAAGAAAATAGTTAATGTACTTTACAAACATCAGCTAACTCTTACTAGGTATTATATGTAACTGGAAACTTATTTTCTATTTCAGCTATGTAAAGTTTCATTTACAACATCTTCTCATTTTTTCGCAACTATTGCACTCTTCTTTCTTCGCTAATTGAAAGGTATGCGTAAAACAAAGGAATGCATGAAAAATGAAACAGAATGCAAATAAATAAGATTATGTTTTCCAAGAATGATGAGAGAAAAATTAGAAAATATCTTAAACTGAAGATTCATGATGCTAGTGATTAAAGTAACAGGTGCTCTTGCCTAAATTATAAAAAACTGTTGTCTTTTATATGACTCTAACAAGCGATGAATAACGTACATGGTAAAAAAGGATTTTTACATAAAAAGTTAGAGAATTTTTTGTTGTAAGTCTAGTAAAAATACTGGTTACAATTTTCATTCGTTTTACCGTTTTATGCATTTGGCAAGCTACACAAACCAGGAGTCACTGATAAATAAATCGAAGTGTCTGGTGCTTGATTTGGTACAAGTTAATACTATAATTTTTCTTTTTCTGAAAAAAAGTAAAATTTTAACTTTTTATATAACAAAATACCTAAAAAGATTGAACTTAGTTGTTTAGCTCAATCTAAATGTCATTGAAACAAGCACTGCTCGTAAAAATGTTTCATAACTTAAACATTAAATGGATTGATAAATCTAAGATCAATCTCAGTTATTGACTTAAAGACATAATATAATACAATATAGACGGCTTCTTTAAAGTCCTCATGTAGTACACTTGATAGTAACGTTTCTCTAAATATAGTTTTGTCACAAAGGTACGTGTCCCTTTTCTTTCCTGTGGCTTGTTTCAGTTTTTACAATAGCTATAGAGCAGCAGAGTTGCAATTGTCGACTAGAGGTGACAGCGGTCCTATTTTACCTTTCCCGCTTCCCAATTTGTCTCCCTCATAATGTACATCCAGGGATAAGCCTTAAATTGTAACAGAACTTAACATAACCATATATATATACATACATACATACATATATATATATATATATATATATATATATACTATACATACGTGTATATAACGTACAAGAAATTTTGTTACATATATGTTACATAAAATATAGATGTATTTTAATCACATTAAAAACTAAGACTATAAATAATTCTCAAATAAGTAATCACATCTTTCCAAATTAAATTTTTGTGTCAGTCTTATTGTTGTATTTAATGAGTCTAATTAAAAAATCTGTCCTGATTAATTAATTGTAAGTAAATTCATTTCATAATTATCCAAAGATTACCCTTTTTTTATAAAATTGATGTGAAAATCTTTATATTTTATCATATTACTGTTATCTAAATTTTATTAAAATAAAACCCATCACCAAAAATACATCTGAATTTTAACATAACTGACAACCTTTAACGTACATTTCTGATATGCGTATTTACCGGAGGGCCTCCGGGAGGTGGATGGATGATGTAATGGACCAGTTGGCATTGTGTTTGATTCGGGTATAAATGCAGCTACTAGTAATGCGCATATCACAAGTAATGCACCAAACACAAATGGTGGTCCTGGTACAAGCTAGAAATACAAATTTCTTTATAGTACTTATATGAATGTTATTACTTTTAATTAACTTCTAATTTCTTTATAGTACTTATATGAATTGAAATGTTATTACTTTTAATTAACTTCTAATCAAAATTACCTGGGTTACTATTTGTGGCATAATATCAAGATGTTGCGTGGCAGTTCCTGTTTTATTATTTTCATCTAATGGAGATGGTTTTGCAGGAAGAGAAGGAGAATTGTCGTTGAGATCAACACGAAAGAGATAAAAAATTACTCCAAACATTGCAGGCCCTAGACCATTACATAATCCACGCATTCCGGTTACCATGCCTTGTACCAAACCTTGCTTATCAGCATCAGAATGCATGGATATGAACGCGGAAATTGCAGGATATGTAATACTTGACACAGCAGCAAGTACTCCAGCTGCCCACATCATCCTTAAAATTACAGAGATATTTAATAGAATTTATAAAATTCTTTTATTATATTATAAAAATCTTTTAATATTAATTTGAAATATTTTTATTAAAATTATAACAAAAAACGAAAATAAAACTTTGCTTCAGAAATTAAAAATTTGAAAGTATGGTGAAGAAAAAATTACCATGTTTGCGAACCAAAGCCAAACCACATGAGTTGTAACATCTCAAATAAAAGGCCTAACATTATAGTGTGTTTACTGCCAAGTGTCTTTATCAAAACACCCAACAGAGTTTGAGCGCCGACACTTAAAATTCCCACCACGGCAATAAAAAATGCTACCATTAGAGCAGTAAATCCCATAACTTTAGTCAAATAGACAAATATACAACTATACTGTCCTGCTTCAGGAAGATAGCTCAGGAACACAGTAATACACAACATTAAAATAGTATGATCTTTGCCAACCTGAAATATCAGATTTGTATTAATGTTTTTATTTTTATTTTATTATCTTGTATAAAAATACAATATTTTTTATGCGCCATTAACTTAAATATTTTGTTTGAAATAGAATGCAAAAACTTCTAATTAAAGCATATCTATTTTTAGACACATATTTACTAATTTGGATTGATTTCATGATCACCTTATTTATACACAAATAGATAGATCACCTTATATTTACACACACACACACACACACACACTCGCGCGTACACACACACACACACACACACACAAAATATTTCAAATTACTTACCTTTCCAAGATAAGCAAAGGGGTCTGCCTGCTCCCAAGAAATAGGTGCTGGTGGACGAGCTTTTTCAGGCAAACTTTCAGGTACAGCCACTAATATAAAAAACACATCCAACACTGCAATAGCTGTTGCTAATGCAACCACAAGATTTTCTCCATACACTTTCATAATGTAATCTCCCAATGCTGGACTTATTACCATACTTGCAGCAAAAGTTGCTGACACCTAATAAAATAAATATATAAAAAACGAAAGAAAAATATTATAAATTTTATAATGAAGTATTTACCAAACCATATGCTGGAGACCTTTGATGTTCTTCGGTAACATCAGCAACATATGCAAACACCACTGAAAATGTGCAAGCAAAGACACCACTGATGGAGATCATAGCAAAGAACCACCATGTATTAATGCTCATTAGAGGAATCGGCGCACATGTGAAGGCTACTGTGATAAGTAGAAAGAATTTTCGACCCCACACATCAGACAAAGCACCAATTAATGGTGCCGAAAGAAATGACAAGATTCCTTTAATGCCCATTATCAAACCATTCATCAGGAACGTGTGATTTGGAAATGTACTATTTAATACAGAGATAACAGGCATGGTTAATAAACCCCATGCAAAAAATTCCAAAAATATTACAACCAGAGCATGGTACACACTTGCCTCTCCTATACCGGAACTCTGTAAAACAAAAAGAAATAAAATATATAAGTATAGTGTTCATACGCGAATATGTGTATATTACTAATGTATATACAATTCATAAGCAGCCATAATATCTAATTGCTACACCCAATAATTATGAAATAATAAAAAGATAATTTTTACAGAAGTTTAATATCAGAAGTTGGATTTATCAAGAACTATAAGCACTTTGCAAATCGTGACAGCTGACCTTAAGATGTCTGTAGCATTGCTGAGCAAATGTAAGAGGAGGTGTGAGTATAGCAATAGCATGTTCTTGACTGTTGTGAATTTCAGAACAGGAAGGGCCCAGGCCCTCTGCTCCACCTTTTGCCCCAGGGGGCATGACCCCTAAGAAGTGTTACTATATATATTTCTTTCCATATTTACGATTCTATCAATTTTTCATTTATCAGTTGTTCAGATCCATATAATACTGTAACGAATAATCTTGACTTAGCATTATATCAGTTTTGCATTTTCAAATATTCAACCTAATCTTCACGGATAATTATTTATTATACTGCACGAAGACTCCAGTCTTTTTTAATTACAATTATGCGTTAATTCTAATTAAAAGCTCTATTTTTGTTGCATTTTTTGTAAATATTTTCCCAATATATTTAGTATTTAATTCTGCATATATATATGTCTTTCATTATATCACAAACATCATTTTGTGTAATAAGATACCATCTTTGTACATTTCTATGGTTTGTATAGAGATTGTATTATCCTTAACTAATATACATATAAAATAATTAAATTATTAATTGCAACAAGCTTCTTTCTTATTTTCATGATATCAATCTGTCATTATTGTAATTTGTGCCATTAACAAAACGTTAAAAATTACATTAGGAAAACATAGTATGACTTATTCAATATTACAGCTTAATCTTTATTTAAATAATTTTACAAATATTCTTTATTATCATTATTTTTATTTTTGGTCAATTTTTATATTTTCTCTCGTCTAGACAAAGCATACTTTTCTTCCTTGTTTCTCTTTTTACATTTCTCAGCAATATAAAGACACAAGATCTCTTATGTACATAAAATATTGCGCCAAAATCATTAACATAGAACAAAATATCTGCGTACGACCATTTTGAAAATATACTCTTCCACAAGATTTTCAAAACATTCCAGATATTCTTATCACATATTATAGTCTGTAACTATTAAGGGCAGCTTGTTTAAAAAGCACTACATTATTAATAGACTGAAGTTTTGGAAATTTTCGAAGATCTTTTTCTTTCTATGTAGTATCATTTCTCTTGAAGCTGTTTTCTTTTTTCGAGAAAAACTGTCACGTTTTCGTCATGCATGATGTCTATTGATTGACAACACGTTGAGATTTTGCAGAAAAAAGCTATCATTCAGCATGTCGTGTGATTTTCGTGAAAATCAAAAGCTGTCACATGAAGTGTTCCACGATACTCTAATTTTCCGTAAAATCCGTACAAAACGGAGTGTCGTATCAAAGTACATTAAAAAAAATGGTACGATCAGTGATATAAACCGATACATCAAGGTGGAGTGATTCGTCTCGTATTTAATGTATCTTGATGTCATAACTTATTGTCAATACTTCCTCACTTAACATTTTCGAAACCGCATGTTTATTTAATAGTTTTCTTTATTTTCCCATTGTCCACTCTTATCTTTTCCAATAAAATTACTACAAAATTTCGAACAAAAGCCTGAATCACTGCATTGCAACTCTGTCACCAAACCCCCCACTTTTTACGATACTAGTCTACTCTCGTCATAGCTTTCAATTGAATCTAACCTAAAAGTCTAGAACAATGAACTACGTTGCTCGTTGTACGTCTATAATGACACATTCGAAAACGAGAAAATTTATCAACTTTGGAAAATCTTGCATAATCTCTTTTTTCATTGCTCGTTTCATGTACAAAAAGGTTAGTTCTTATCAACTACACATTGCTGGCAGCTGATCAATATGCGCAAGTACGATAATATTCGAAGGACCTGAACATATATAACAATACTCTAATAAAATGAAACTAATAATTTAATTCGAGTTTAATAAAAAGAGAAGGTATTATCGCGAACCAAAGGGAAGATACATTTACTCGCGTAAATTGTAATTTGTTTTATCTCAGTAAATTATAATCACGATATGTTGCATTTCGTGATCTCGGTAACTTGAGTTTCGTTACTTCAATAATTATCATACATATTAATAGCCTAAAATGTTCTTCTATATTTATAACATCTCAAATATAAAATATAAAGAATTCATAATTTATTATACTGTCTGCACAAATATGTTTATTAAACAGTTGATCATTCATTCTTTTGAAAATGTGGTTAACATTGAAATATAGTTAAACATATGTTTCATTAAATCAAATATAAAATAAAAGAATTACACAGTAATAATTTTTCATAAACTTCATAAAGTTTTCTCTGTATTATAAAAGATAACTATGAAGCTTCTATTTCAACTAATTCTAATTGATCATAGAAGGAAATTAATGAGAAACAATAAAACGAGATATGAAATTAACGTAATTTAAGTAACATTGTTTTATTCGTAAAATAATTTTGAACATCACTCTAAGTGAAAGTATCTAAAAAACATTGATATACTACTCTATGTCTCTATATCAGGGAAACGTTTTAAGCTGTTTGAAAACAAATTAAAAAATGAAACAAAGAAGCTGGTTGCAGGTTCTAAATATTTTATTAATTATAAAATATGAAGAATAAACAGAAGTTCGAATAGTCCAATACACACTATATTTAACTGTGAATAAAATTATTATTGGTATTATTATGTGTTACAATTAACATTGTTTGTCCAGTTAAAAAACAAAAATCACAGGGAATACAGGATTCAAACAAAGGCATACGGAATTGTATCGTTTACTCTTGTCACTTTGAAAGAAAATTGGTATATTTTTAATGAAAACTGCTGAAAAATACTATTTAATCAAAAATGCGTCGATTGTATTTTGTAACAATTTTCTACATGAAAACAAGTCTTACTAACATATACGGCACGAAAAACGAACGAAGATTCCAGCCATGTGTCAGTGCTATAATTACAATGTAATCACTTTAAAACTCGTACAACAACTTTGATACCAACGAACTTGTTTCAAGAACAAGTTCAACAAGTCAAAGTCGCGTTTCGTACAAGGAACTTTTTCTTTTTTTTTAATCATTAATCCATTATTTTTGCACTATTCAGCAGAAGATAAACACAGAGTGAACTCATTGTCAAGAGTTTATCATGCACCGAAATGAAAACTCATGTATACTTACTTTCGATACGAAATTAGAAAAAATACGTATGCGTGTGTGTGTGTGCGTGCGTGTGTGTGTATGTGTACATATATGTATATATATATATAGAAAGACGAAGATGTAACTTAAAAATCTAATAAATATTAAACTGAATGTGTTCAGTACCGTAATGACCCCATCCTTAATAATGAATTTTCGGCTTCGTACGATCATGCCCACGACCTTCTTTGAGACCTTGGCGGGCATATTCACGCACTGCGCGCACAGACTCTTCCGTTTTTTCAATTTCATTAATCCCTAAAAATTCGATGGCACTGTGCGAGTCATTTTTTTCGGTGATACGCTCACACGGACACAAAATAGTGTTATTAGCTTCAAATCGGCCTTCAGTGTCGTACTTCTACATAATGCTACGAGCCACAGTTAACCATATCCGCAGACTACTACAGACTACATCGGCAAGTGGAATATGTTCTCAGTGGGAACATAGAAGGGAAAGTGCGATGGTGGTGGAAATTGCGCACGATGGTGGTGCCAGCTAGCACCAACGTCAGCAAACCAACCCGATGCATTCCTATCTAAATGAATAGCAAGTTCTGGATTATATTAACGCATAGTCTCATATTGAGATTAATGCGCGTGAAAAAAATAAAAGTTGTTCCATGCTCGACGAATATGTTCCCGTCAACTTCAACGTGTCTTCATGTCACATTGATTTCGTAAAAATTCGACTCGAAAAAATTTCTACTATCTGTGGAGGATCCGTTTTCAGCACCATATATACAATCGTAGTGTATTCAATTATACGAGTGCACACAATTTCTACACTCTAATTAAATATATATTTTCCTGTACGTAAATTACGCTCAATTCTTTAAATATTTTTTTCTGGTTTTTCTTGACGTGACACTTCTGCTGCGCAGAAGATTCGACATGTATATAAATGGGTATCTGACACACGAACGCTTAAAGTGATCAAGTTTGATATGCAATAAGTTCATTGTGAATTTTTTTTTTTTATTATTAAACCATTCTAACAAAGAATAAATATATATAAAGTTCGATTGAAAAAATTACTGGAGTAGATACTGTCCAAGGAACAAAGCTAGAAGAACGATTTGGTGTTACATATATGTGTGTAAAGTAAATTAATGAATAAATCATTGAATCGTATCGTAGGGAGAACGGTTATCAAGGAAAAAAAATAAAACCTACAAAAACAATTCTCAATAACCGCGCGGTGTTACATGATAACGTAATTGTGTTTGGTGTGTACGCGGCATAAATTTATAACTTGATCGTCGTTAACGCATAGCACCGCGAGAGTGCGCGTTATTCAGTGAAAAAAAATGGTGGTTATTTGGGTGTAGTCGGGCGATTTTCTGCAATACAAATGTGAATACCGGTTGACTAAGAAATTACGAGTGCTGTTTGTCAGTGCGTCGCGAGGCTAATATGACTGGATCTATATCGGAGGTAATGAAACAATCACGTAACCGAACAAATATCTCGCATATCTCGTACGAAATTGCCGATTCTAAGTAGATATTGTTGTTCACGCATCTCCGCATGACAAGTACTTGTTCGTATTCCCGATGTATTTTATCAGACAAAAATTTTGGACAAACCGGTGACGTTTATAGAGAACGAAGAGATTCAAATTTGCTTGTAGCCCTCGAAATCGTCTGCCGCCAAACAATATGTAAAATATGCACTGACGCGATATTTTTGGGATAGATGTCACATTATCTCTCTCGGCAGTCTTCACTATATGCGCGTTCGCGAGTGTGTACATTTATTTGATTTGCGGTGTATGTGTGTCGTACTTCCTCTTCACCCCTTAATACGCATGTATTCAGTATGCATCGCAACGGTGTGTCCGTGAGATACGTATATCGCAGTAAATACGTAAGATTTGCTGCTTGCTATATACTGTCAACATTTTTTAAGTTATTCCACGATGCTTAACAACATACTGCGATATTTAACGAAGTTAAATTTTCCCCCATGCATACCTTTGTTTTCCCCGTTTCGATTCGTTACTTAATGGCTCTTATGGTTATTTAGGTGAGCGGATTCTCGGAATATATAGGAGTTTCGGTTCATTAATAAATAACGAAATATTGTGTTTAATATATCTAAAACACTAATTCTGAGATCGGTTGTCCTCACATTTATTGGCAGTCGACGTGATCAACATTAGGCTATTGATGTTGCTAAATTTATATAATCTGTACGATATATAAACTGTTTGCAAAGTAGAAATCACAGTCGCATAAAGACTCACATATCCACACACACACACATACACATGCAATTCTGCTCTCTGTAAAATAGATTAATTCAAGCTTTATTGATAGAATTCTATCACAATAACTCAATGCTCTTCTATATCTTTGATTTTATTTTTTCACTTTTGTCTTTTCAATAAATCGATTTCGCTCGCAATTTTTTTGCACATTCATTATTAGAATAATTTGCAAATTAATCGCGTATTTAACATATGTTACCTTACATAATATAAAATTACGTATATAATATAAAATTATTTTAACAAAATTATTAATACGTATTTAATGCAAACGTTGAAAAACGTATTAACAGTTATTTAAAATTATAATACATGATAAATGTATATAATGACAAGCATATATGTTTGTCAATATTAAAAATATGTCACGTAAAACATTTAATTAAAATAGGATAAGGTTTTTTTTCACATATGAAAAATTTGTAATGCATATTTATTGTTATTTTAAATTATTAATAATGAACAGCATTTATAAAGAAAATAAAGGTATAATTTTCTTATATTTTAATACATGATATGAAATTAAAATATAATTTATAACTGTTAATTATTTCAAATTTAAAAACTTATATTTAAATTAAAAATGTAATGAGAAAATATAAAAAAGATGACATTTACATTATAATATTTAATTAGAATCTTGAAATTAAAAAACTAATATTATAAACAAAAAAAATAAGATAAAATTCTTCATTATGTAAACAACCATTTTTTATCTATATTTATAAAAATTTATTTGTTATTAATATTTTTATTATTAATTATTATTAATATTAATGTTTTTTCTGTTTTCAGAATCATTTAACTTCTTTGGTATTAAATATTTATTGAAAAATTGAAGTAACAGAGTATATTTGATAACGAAGAAGAAAAAATCTGTGATGAATATAAAGTTATATACTCTGTACATTTGCATAAATGCATCCAGTATTTTATAGTTTAAAAAATAAAATTAATTAAAGATATATACTGTTTTCCTGATAAATAATATGACATTAAAAGTTCTTATAAAATCTTTATCCAAGTCGAATTGAGAAAGAAAGAAATATATATATATATA